GTTATATTAACCTCTTAAGCCACAAGCTCTCCTCCCTTATCAGCTGAGCCAGGGGAATGGTTAAGTGTTTTGTCAAAGCACCTGAGGGAAGCAGTATGCTCCCTCCCATATTTGGGCATACCAGGTGCTCGCTCGCTCCCTCTCTCTCTCTCTCTCTCTCTCTCTCTCTCACACACACACACACACACACACACACACTCACACACACATATAATGGAAAGAACATGAATAGAAGTACTTTAAATGTATAAATGATTGTGATTGGTAGTAAAACTGTATATGGAGATATTGAATAATGGAAGGATGAAGGATGAAATTTTGATTTAGTTAAGGAAATATGAATTTACAAAATAGGTGAAAATACATCTTTGAATATCATAGCGATATGAAACAGGGGGAAAAGTCAAAATGGGGATAGAAAATAGAGGAAATGATAGCAATTATTTATTAAGATGTTAAGATATATAAAAGGACAGGAAGAAGGTTTAGAAATGAAGGGTGATAATAAAAGCCATGTATAAATAATATGAAATAATAGAAATGAAATGTAATATTTAGAAGTAATAAGATTGTTTATGTGTACTGAAATGCATGATACCCAGATGCCACACCATTCATGCACTGATATGTATAAAGACTATAAAAAATAAAAAATTGATCAAAAAAAAATTCAGATGCTTGGCAACTGGTTCACACTTATGACGGTCACAGTGTCCTAGGGTCATATGATCCCCTTTTGCAACCTTCTGACAAGCAAAGTCAAGGAGAAGCCGGAGTCACTTAACAACAACTATCTTAACAACTACAGTAAATCACTCAACAACAGCGGCAGGAAATTTTGGGCTCAATTGTTGTTGTAAATTGAGGACTACCTGAATGGAATCATAGAATCTTTGATCATCAGTCTACGATCCGCATCTTAAATTTTTCAATCTGGTCAAGCCCAATAATGTATTCAGAATTCCTTCTTAGACTGATAAAGGCAAGATGTGATAAAATAAATAATAGGAAAAATCTTCAATCTCAGCTTGACCATTAATATAATACTAGGTTTATTCATTGGGCCTATGATCCGGTTTATTTAATCATGATTTGCAGAGGAGGACCGAGTGGCTGGGCTCAAATAGCAAAGTAACACATTTTTACAATAGAATAGAATAGAATTCTTTATTGGCCAAGTGTGAATGGACACACAAGGAATTTGTCTTTGGTGCAGATGCTCTCAGTGTACATAAAAAGAAAAGATACATTCTATAGAATAGAATAGAATAGAATAGAATAGAATAGAATAGAATAGAATTCTGCTCATTCACATCCAGCAAAGTCTTTCAAGGGAGGATTTACAGTCACAGACCTTATCGGCCAGGCCGATCTCTGCAGAACTTGGCAAGGAGTCTGGGAGAGTCATGAATCAATTAAGGAAACTCATTGTCTCCTGCAAACTCCACTCCCCTTTCGCTCCTCTTTTATTCCCTCTGGGAAGGGCCATTCATCATCTACCTGTGGCCTTACTCCCAAGTCGACCCCTGTTCTTTAGCTGTTCCCTTTGTCTGGCAACTCTGTGCATGCGCACACTGGGAACAGGCTCCAGTCTGCCTCACTGATGTCTGACTCCGAAGGCAGCTGGTAACTGACATATGACCCTGGCCCCTTCTCTGCCTCCAACCCAGAGCCCTCGTCTGAGCCTTCCCCAGACTCCAGGACTGGCCCAGGTTCCTCTCCAATCACCTCACTGGCTGAATCTGTGGCCAGCTTTGCTGGCCACTGGCGGGCCACAACAACAGATTACCTCCTGGAGTTGTGGGAACTCCATCCCTCGAGGTTTTTCAAAAAGAAAAAAGCTTGGACCTCCATTTACCCAGGGTGGTCTGAGAATTCCTGATCTGGATAGGAAGTCTTCCAAGTCTATGATCTGAATTTTACCATGATCACTTGAAGGCCGATTTGGTACAGTTTGAAGACAAAGGAAATGGCTTTTTCTATGGTATTGTCCTCAAGACGCATGGGCACTTTCAAATGGGGTGGCTGGGGAGCCATCTGGAAAGCATCAGACGATCGACAGCTGCCATGACAAGAGACATTTCCTTATTCTTTGAAGAGTTACAGGATGTCACTTCAGCAAGTACATCTGTCCGGTGCAACCCCACTGATCCCTGGATTCCTTTGCTCAGACCAGGATCTTGTGGTTTGAGGTATTTGATGCTGGCAGATCAGTCAAATACACCGACTTCCAAGCCGGATGCTGGCCAAGAACGGACCTCCCGTCCTGATTCAGCAGAAAAGTCCTAATGCTTAATTGTGGGGAGAAAGATCCGCCTGGTTCAGTTCCAAGTGGGGATTAAGACACTGGAAACATGGAGGCCGCTTGGAAAGATGGTTTGATGATGGATCAGAACCACATGAGTTCTGGTTAGCAGACCCCATGGATTTGAAAGTGGGGGGACTTTATACCTTCTCTTGGGCTTTGTACTTGAGCCTCCTGTGCAAGAACATATATTCTATTGGCTGTTGTCAGGCCCCTAATGGGGCCCTGTAGGGGTCATGTTTGTCTAAGCTCAGTTTGGTTGAAGTTTGGACCGCTGATGCAATGACGGGGCGTTGGGCAATTCCCATTGTGGCTGAGGGCTACCATATTCTTTGGACTATAAGGCGCACCGGGTATATAAGACGCACCAAGATTTCAAACAGATAAGTAAGAAAAAAAGTTTTTGTCCTCCCCGGCCCCCAGAAGCATCCTGCAGGCTTCAGTAAGGCTGGAGGAAGGGGAAAATGCCCCTGTTTTTGCAAAGAACAGCCTGTTTTTAGCTCATGTTTCTCAAAAATGGGATGTGAGGGTAG